TACTCTGTATTTTGTTAAGTCTTGTGTAGACTTTTGTATAGAATCTGTCAAGTTATAATCATTATACTATAGTTGAGTAGTTTTAGTTATTACTATAGTTAAAGGAAAAACTACAGGTTAACAATATATATATATGAGTGATGAAAAAGAAAAACCTGTAAATCATTTTACTTATTATATGAAATAATTTATAGGTTTTTTCTTTTCATCACTCATATATCTATAATATAGCTAATAACAATAAAAAACTTAAGAAAAAATTAGTTATATATATATATGTTTTAAACAGAATAATTTAAATTTACTATAAAGATAAAACTGATTTTAAGCTTGAAAATATTACCTCTATAGCCTGAATAAAGAAAATAGACAAGTAAATATGGTTCAATTTCAAATTTAGTATAATGCTTATTAAAGATACTAATAGCTGATCTATGAAAAGGATTATTTATAAGAATCCAATTAATAGCTGCAGCTATTTTTACTATACTAATAAAACAATTAGCAAGATTTGCATTACATGCTTCTAAGTTATGTATAGCCTCTTTAATTAGTTGAATTATAGATGCAATTTGATGACAGTTTGTGTAAAATATATCATTATCATTATTTAATATTGAGATAACTGGTTTATTGATTATATCTCAATTGTTTTCTAGAATCTAAAAAAAATATTTTTTTTAAAAAAAAATATATTAATTATGCATATCTTAATATGTACATATTAATTTTTAATTTACCTTATCAAAAACAGGTTTTAATCTTATAATTGAAGATGTAGTTTTAAAAACAAAAGCCTATCTTGTTTCAACATATTTTTCTAAATCACCATCATCTATTTTCATATTTTTTATATTATTATGAAGAAGTCTGCATGCTTTATGTGACTTAGTAAAAAATTGAACAACTTGATTCACTTGTTTTAAAATCTAATTAATGGATTTGATTTTAACTATATCACTTGCAATAAGGTTCAATATGTAAGCAATACATCTGATATTTCAAATATGAAAATAATTGAATGTAGTAATTTTATGAGTAATATAAGCATTACTTTCATTATTAATTACACAAGCAATAAATTTTTCAGATCTAATTTTATCAATGATATTAGAAATTTTAGAAGCTAGAAATTTACCAGTTTGCGTTGTATCTGAAAAATTCAAGATAGAATATAAATATTCTTTTCTATCTGAGGTAGAAACAATAAAATTATATAATAAATCATTAGTTAGGCTTGACCATCCATCAAGTGCTATTTATTAAATAATAATAATAATAATAAATATATTATTGTTATTATATAAATTATATAAAATATATTAATTTTTTATATTTAGATTTTTTTTATACCTAAAGTTAAATTATATGTCTTGTCAAATAAATTATCAATTCGTATCATTATATGAGCAGCCTTCTCATCAAGTAGTCATTTTGCTAAAATAATTCTTCTAAGAGGAAAATATTCAAGTAAATAAAAAGGTCTCGAACAAATGGATTATCAATTACAGAAAATGGCATTCTAGTACAAACAAAAGCTTTAACAGGCATAGGACATTTCCACTTGAGTGTTGTAATTATAGGTCAAATGACTTGATGTACCTTAATTTATATGTAAATTTATGAAAAAAATTTATTTAATCTTGATTTACTTAAAAAAATAAAAAGAAAGT